ATTCTCAAAACACCGCACACTTCGACACGCACAAGAAATGCCCCCGGAACTTCGTGTTGTCATTCTCTTCAGAAATGTAGTTGACCCGGTCGAGCGAAAGATAAGGGAAGCATTGGAAATAAAGCAAGTGTGCACCACCGATCAACAATAAGGAGGAAATGAAGATGGCGATGAAGCTCATAGAACTATAGGCCAGGGCTACGTGCAAGAGGGAAGCGGTTGTGACAATAGGAAGATCATTCCCTTCTTTCACATATAAAAGCCCGCGTAGCATCCCATCACCATTTTCCTGTCAACCATTTCGTCCTCCTCCCCGCTCCTTTCCAGTGGGACGACGTTGGTGGGGTACACCTCTTATACACAATGTTTTCATGTGTTGTACATGTGTTATGCTGTTTTTCAGTTGATCTGAAGAAGGGCTTAGGCCCGAAACGTTATCAATAAAGTTTTTGTAGAAGAAGAGCTTCCAAACTACATTCACTCTAATTTGGAAAATGAAGCTCAGGGAACCAACGATACTTCCATGTCTCAAGACCCTGCAAGTTCAATATCATTCTGAGTAGGGAATCTTTCATGTTAATACTGAACTACATAGCTTTCATCAACACGCCCTTACCCTCGATTTGTCCGTTGAATTCCTCTTAAAATGTAAATCACACGGCATTACCCCCATGTTCATCCGATATATGATGGCACGATTTCGTCGTTTCCACCAGAACTCTGTTCGAAATGCAGTAAGGCATCTTGAAAGATGCCTCCTAGATGCTGCTATAGCAGAGCAACGACGTACAAGGAGTCACTGTATTCGAAATATCGTACGTCTGAAGACAATAATAAGGCAACGAGTGAACGTGGAGTGCTGGCGGAGATTAATCAGCTATCACAGAACAACTTGTGATCGGCTCAGACGAGCAACACAGCAGAAGCTAGATCAAAAATTCAACCGACTTGTCCATTCAACAACTCCTTCCTTCATAATTCCCAATTCCGTTCCACCTGATCGATGTACTATCATTGACAGCGATTTTGTGGATGACGATGTCAAGGCGTTGTTGAACCTTGGACCGAATTTTTGCCCAAGACCAAAATTCTCAGAGACGGTAAAGAAGGACATCATTACTGCCGTACAGAGATTCTGGTATAGCCAATGCTGGAAGGATCAAATTCGGACCCACGGTACCGACTCTTCAAGAAACTCTTACGAAGAGAAATGCCTTTTCCTCGGAACCATATTAGCACACCACAACATAATCCACAATTCAATTCAAGAGTAGTCGCACTTAAACAAGATCTTCTTCGAATATACAACGAACATCGGAGACGACAAGTTCCAGATAATATGACGAGTATGGAACGAGCAGGTCTCAGGAAAGCCATTGATTTGAAGCGTTCACTGCGATTCTCAGTCGGAGATAAATGCGGTGGTTTCGTTGTGATGTCGCAAGAAAGGGACATATCTCTATGCGAAGCTGTACTGTCGGATACCACGACTTACTCGACGGTTACTGCTGACCATTACAAAAGAGAATGCAAGAAACTTGAAGAGGTTGTCATAAGAATACTTGGTCCGAAGCTCGAAAAGAACATTTTGATCCAATTAATGCCGAAGCACACAAGCATACCAACTTATTATCAATTAGTCAAGACCCATAAATTGGTAAGAAGCGAGACTGATAATGTTGTGGACGATACGTCCATCAAAACGAGACCAATAGTAGCATCTTGTGGAGGACCAACAGACAGAATTAGTTGGTTCTTACAACGAATCCTCTGCCCGCTGCTTCAACATGTCTCTTCCCACCTCAAGAATGTAACACAATTCCTGGAGCAATTGAGACAGTGTAACTTCAACAACAACCGCGACTAGTTTATCAAAGTTTTGATGTTGTTGCGTTGTACACGAACGTTGATACGCAAAGAGCTGTGGAGGCTTGCATACGTCTTTTGCGTTTGCATCATCAAGAACTTCAGCTGTTTGATCTCAACATCAACGACATCGAAGAGCTCCTACGGAATCTTGGTGGAAGTGAACATATTCCGTTTCCGGAATCAATTTCTACAAGCAGAAACGAGGACTCGCTATGGGAAGCAGGTTGGCTCCGTTGCTTGCGATGTGTTCATGGATAGCCTTGAACGACAAGCCTTGTCATCAGGAATATTATATTTCGGACGATACATCGATGACATCTTCATCGTCGGCAAAACAAGAACCGCTTTGCGAGAGACGTTTTCTGAAGTTGAATTCAGCGCACCAGTCGATACGACTAACATCGGAGGAACCTTCGCATGACGGCTTCTTGCCATTTCTGAATTCGAAAGTCAGAATAGTGGAACGGTCAAGGTCAGTACAATGTGGTACAAAAAAGGGGCATCTCGTAACATACTCATACACGCTCGGAGTTGCCATCCTCTCCACATGAAACTGAATGTCGTTCAACACATGATTTCAACATCGTGCAAGCTGACTTCCGTGAATACTCAGGAGATAACAACCGAAGTGGATGAAATACTACGGCAAAATGGATATAAAAGAGGACAATATCGAAGTTGGAAACCGTGTCGATCACCGTCTGGCACTCCTCTCGTACTACCGTTTATCACCGATGATTCGCAATGGACATCGACCGCGTTGTAAGAAGATCAGGACTCCCAATCAACCTGATCTTCCGACCACCACCTTCACTACGACGCATTCTGACATCATCACGTCCATATGAAAATCGGTGCGAAAGAACAAACTGCACGATATGTGGAGAGCAGAAGGTGTGCCAGATGAGGTGTGTTGTGTATAAAGTAGAGTGCCTCGGTTGCGGAGAATTTTACATTGGAGAAACGGCAAGGACCACTCTACAAGAGAATGGACGAGCACATAAGAGCCCTGCGTAGTCCTCAAAACTACCGCAGAGAGTCCATTCTCAAAACACCGCACACTCGACACGCACAAGAAATGCCCCCGGAACTTCGTGTTGTTATTCCTCCACAGAAATGTGTTGACCCGGTCGAGCGAAAGATAAGGGAAGCATTGGAAATAAAGCAAGTGTGCACCACCGATCAACAATAAGGAGGAAATGAAGATGGCGATGAAGCTCATAGAACTATAGGCCAGGGCTACGTGCAAGAGGGAAGCGGTTGTGACAATAGGAAGATCATTCCCTTCTTTCACATATAAAAGCCCGCGTAGCATCCCATCACCATTTTCCTGTCAACCATTTCGTCCTCCTCCCCGCTCCTTTCCAGTGGGACGACGTTGGTGGGGTACACCTCTTATACACAATGTTTTCATGTGTTGTACATGTGTTATGCTGTTTTTCAGTTGATCTGAAGAAGGGCTTAGGCCCGAAACGTTATCAATAAAGTTTTTGTAGAAGAAGAGCTTCCAAACTACATTCACTCTAATTTGGAAAATGAAGCTCAGGGAACCAACGATACTTCCATGTTTAAACATTGCTGAAGATTGCGTTCACATTATGTTGTTCGCAGTCCTCCCCTCGCCGATGCACCAAGCTGTTGCGGGTGACTGAGAGACTTAGGGTTATGTTGGACCCTTTTAATGTCACCTTGCGGTGGTTCAGTGGAATTGTATTGGAGAGAGTACAAAAGAGAGAGTTTGAGCTGTGAACTGTTTATCGAGCTTGTTAAATCAGCGAGTGCCGTATGTTCGAGTCTTACATAAGGGTCCGCCCCCGCCAGACGTAAGGCCGAGAGGGGATCATCGCCTGCGATACGCAGGCGATGATACCATAATGCTTCAGAAAAGGAAGGAGGCTAAGGGATCAGAGAAGGTCTCCTTTTTGGTGCATGTCAGTTGTGCTAACATAACGATTTCTTGCACGACTTGCTTCTTTGAGGAGTAGTACAAAGTGTAGGGGAAGAAGCAGTATTGGTAGAATGCCTCAGGCAGGAAAGAAAGTTCCCAAGCAAGTTCAGTTTTGCGTTATTCTTGAGCATTTAACTTTTCTGCCATGTGGCGTCGCTTGTACGAAAGTGTTTTTTTTGACTTTGGTGTCCACGAAGCCGAATTTCGCCAAAGGGTGGGGAGAAAATACCCCGGTTATAATCTCTTTGCAATTTGGAGGCGTGTAATAGTAAGTATTGCCTGTGAAGGAACACTTAACACTGAGCGGCACTACTTAGCTTTATCGGGCTACTTCCGACCTAATTTCTGGCTTCTCCTCGGCTCCAACTCCGCTTCATCCCCCTACCCTCCGTTGGTATGTTAGTGGTGCTTCTCCACTTCTCATCCAATGGTGATAAAATATGAAATGCTTTTGATTTACAATCTAACGCGGTTATACTAACGATTTTAGAAGCCTGTCGATTCTTTCCAGGGCATTGTCAACCGTCTTAAAGGAATCCTTCCCGGAAATTCTTGCGTTCTTTTTGTTCAACGAGTGTGTCAGTTGTGATCATTACAGACAACACATGAAGTTTCATGCACGGGATTCGCTTTTCGCGAAGCGTGGAACATACGGAAACGCAGCACTCTACGCATAGTATAGTATGCCAGTCGGAGGGTTAGTCGCGCGGAGCCTAAGGTGGGACATGGAAAGAAGTGCGTCTCAGGGCAGCTACATAAAAGGCGACGCAATGGAAGAATCCGGTTCTGGCGTTCGATTTTTGGAGAATAGAAACAAAACAATCGCTGGAATATGATGCAGTAGAAGTGTGAGACATCAGTGCAATAAGGTCAAAAGGTCAAAAAAGTTTCTAGTGACAGCACTCCGTGAACCAAGTGGAAGCGTTCCGCCGCCAGCATTTGTGACAGATGTCCGGCGGGAATTTGAACGCGTAGCAGTCCTTCGGTTTTTCGAATTGTTTACCAAAACAAATGCAATTTTTTGTTCTTTTCGTTCTTATCGTGGACGATGGGTCTCAAGCCAGTGATTTATGGTGTGATAGGAACATGATTTTTCCGGGAAGGAATTCCTTTCAAGGAGGATCGTGGAGTTTTTCAGCAATATCGTAAAGGGTCCTTCTAGTCCCTTCCTCGATTAGCTGAGCTGCTCTTAATATTCAGAATTAATATCCTGTCTTGCTTCTCTAGCATCCGCTGTGCTTAGGGGGAGAGGGGCATCTCTATGAGGAGTGAGTCTAGGAGGAGAGGATTAACTTCAGGGACAATGGAAATTGCTTACGCTCCGCTCCCTTATTGCCTTCTGAGGCGTAATCGTAGGGAGGGGGTGAGCTAGGAGGGGAAGTGCTGGGTGTGGGTGCTCTCCGCATAACGATGCCCCTAGGTATAAGTGCACCGAATAGCGGCTTTCCAATAGCGCATCTCAGAATTACAACCTTTTGAGAGCTCCAAAAGCCATTACACACCCCGATGAACACGATGCAGATACCAACGCATTTCGAAGGTGGACGGCCGGAGCCCAGCAAGTCGGCGAGGGCTCCTGACCTCTTGTCACGCGTTCTAGGGTCGCGGAAGATTTGCTAAGGAAAAGTTCATTCCACACACTCTGGTTGTGGAATGTGTCAAATCAGAGATAGACTTACTGTAAACATAGTGGGCTTCTTTTTTTGAATTGCTGGCTGTGTTGTTTTGGGAGCGGCGGTCTAAATCACTCAAATTTTAACATCAATGTACCTCAAATAGCATAACAAGCATGACGTCAGGATAAGGATCAGTGTTTAGTGTACAGAAGTTTCCCGTAAAGCTCGCAGTCAATCTTCGGTCAGCTGTACGATTCTTCTGCGAGTGCCACTCAAGTTGAGACCTACCGGTTGAGGTGCGCTACCTCCAGAGCTGATTGCAGTGGCTGTTGACGAACCTGGAAATATTTGCCTTTTTCGAATTCTGTTGAACTACTTCCGTACAGTTTTTGGTAATTTTGACTTGTTTTTGTTTGTTAACTGCTGTTTTTGGCCGCAGTTCGCCTTGCGAATGTTTCACAAGAATGCTGGGTTGTGAACAAAACTTTCGCCCCAGGCGGGACTAGAACCCGCACCTCTCGCTTTCCGGGCAAGTGCGCTACCAGTTACGCTACCGGGGCACCATTTCATCCCAACTCAGCTTTCCATTTTTTTACCAATTATCTGTAAATTCATATTCCTGCTAACACGTGAGGGTTTTTTTCGCGTGCACCATCGGCGGAGTTAATGGGCA